TTTTTGTTTTTTGTTTTAATTTTTTACCCCCCCCCCCCCCCCCCCCCCCCCCCAAGGTATGAAATTTGTCTTTATCTTGGCTGATATCAGACCCTTTTCTTCTCTAGGGTCTGTTATTGCAAGGTATCTCTCAGTGATTTTTAATTTTTTTGGAGACACGTTAGCTGAGAGAGGCTCTCATACTTGCGGTTGATATATACATGGCTGGGGGGATGCATTGTTGGTTCATGGCATGTAGCGGTATCAAGATAAAACTGTTTCTTCCATTTATCTAATAAGATGTCATCTTGTCCCCAGGAGCACTGTGAATCTTGGGACTAAACAAATTCTTCACATTCTTGAGGTATTTTCAAATCAGTACTATTGCAGGATTGATATAGAGTCCAAGATAAACCGTCAAAACAACTTGATAGCTTTTGAAGAGTGGACTTTTTTCCATCTAATTTTTTTTTAATAGTGAAAGTTAAACTTACATTTATTGCTCAATAAATTAGAACAGATGGAGTTATTAATCAGTCTTTTGTTGGCAGCACTTGAAAAAATACCACATATAAGTTTATGTAGCAATTAAGGCTCATTTATGAATAAAAATTAGTTATTTAAGAGAAATCTAAAAAAAAAAAGATGTTACAGCAAGTTGATGTTTCAGATTTGCAAGTAATTACCAAGCTCCCACTTTTATAAGTGACCCTTATGTGAAAATAGATTTAATCTTTGGGGCTGATAATTTTACCCCTTCTGGATTTTAAGAGGGTATTTAATGAGCAAACTTTTGATAAAGTGGACACACCAGCCTTACGGAGGGCATGACACACAGGACAGACGATCAGGAGCCATATCTTAGGATAACTAAGAGCCATAATTGCTTTAATTTGTGATGTTTAAGTCTTAGACAGTATGTGCTGGTGCATTTCGGTGTCTAGTCGCAATTTAGATATAATTGCTGGATAAGATTTTAGTCATTTCTTGATGGTTCCTAAATAATTACATCTTTAATTCTAGCTAGTTATAGGGGCAGTCATATTAAGAAGGGTCATCTTAAAAGGTACCTTACTGAGAGGTTTAGTTCAATTCAGATAACAAGGTTGGAACTTTAGGATGGCCAAAAATTTTCCAGAATCATTTTGAACTTTTCAGATTTTCTAACTACGTAATTGTTTATGTTTAACTGATATTTAATACCATAGCATGGAAGGCTGCTCCTGCTGTAAAGATACAGAATTTGTAGGAAATTGAATATCTTCAATTGAAGCAGCACCTTTTATGCATTGTCACTCATGCAGAATTTGAAATGTTTTGGGTATTGAATTCAAACAGCGCTGACAGTTAACAGAAGTATAATTATAAGGTTTGAAATGACCGTTTTGGGGGACACTTTATGACCTGAAAAATTTAGTCAATTTTGGCGGTTGCTTGATGTATTAACACAAAATGGTTCTGTAAATCTGACACCTGTTGAGATTGGTGTTTACTTTGAAAAAAAAATAAATAAATAAATAAAAAGAAAAGTCAGTTTTCTTTTGAAGTATGATTTATAATGTGTGCAGTTAGGAAAAGAAACAAATATGTGAGGACATTTGAATTTTCCCATTAAGTTATAATGCAAAATGGTTATTTATCTATATGATGTGCATAAGTGTGAAAAGACAAACAGTAAAAGCACTGACAGGTATGAGATAAGCAACAGGAGGAGAACTCAGCCCCAGGTACTTAACATTGTGTAAGCATTTTTCAAAGGATGATTTATGTCAACCCCTGCTGGAAAAGTAATAGTTAAAATGATGAAGCTTTTATCGTAAACCATGAGAAAGAGTTTTCACTTTTCTGCTTCGGATGATTTATTATGTTCACACAAGATTAGAGACCAAGAGAGAGACAATACTGTAATATTATTCTGCCCCTAACTAACTAAAGGTATATGAGTCAGCCACTCTTCATCAGAGAAGGTGGTTCCAAGCTGTTCCACACAGGTGGTAACTTTGAGAACTGTCCCCTTTCTGCTCACCTCGTCCAACCTGTACTCCTAAACTCTGCGTACTTCAGATTGATGTATTATTTATTTGTTTGCTTTCATGGGTGTTTGATTATTTATATGTCTATTAGTAAGTCAAGTAAGTCAAGTAAGCCTGTATGCTTTAATCTGCATTGCTGTTTGTTTGATGATTTGTTGGATTTGTTTGTTTGAATCAAGTAAAGCACATCAGATTCATAAATTTTCCAACCAAAAACCAGAAGTAGTTGAACTTTTTATCAGGAACATACCTAGTCACAAAGAGACCAGAATTATATTTAAGCTATTTTGGTATAATTATTGACTGACAATGACAGTATCCAATTTTAATCCTGATATCATGGATGGTTGTCTATGAGTTCATTCCCAATGAAACTATTCTTTTATGAAGATCGATCCAACTCTTTGGGGACTTTTGCTGAATACAGTCAGATGAATAGATTTACACATCCCCTCTTGTTTCCAATGTACTTTTAAGACCACCAACTTTTTTTGTATTTTAGTCAAGCAGAGGTGTGTTAATCTCTTAATTTATTTGCATTTAGCAAGAGTCCCTATGGAGTTGGATCGGTCTAAGTAGAACAATGCTTTCATTGGAAATAAGCCCTATCAGCCATTTGTCCTGGCAGTGATAGGATGAGTAAGAATTTTTCTCAAGACACAGATGTCTAGATTTACTTGTGTTCTCTATTTGTTTTCATTTTACGGACATCTTTGAAGTTCTCATTGAATGAGCTAAGGACATGTTGTCCGTATTTTGAATTCAAATTAATTTTGGAAAGTGACCACAAAAATAACAACAGGTGGCCATTTTTGGACTTTTGATGGATTTGTTTTCATTTCACAGACAACATTGAACTTTTTATAGTACTCTTGGACCATTGACTATTGTGTCTGTATTTTGAATTCAAACTGAAGTTGTTGGTTGACCACAAGAATAGCTACATATTCATAATTTTTTCTGAAATGTTTTTGGCTTTTGTTTACTGACCAGCTTTTACCTTCTTCTTGAATTACAGACATGAATTGTTGTCCAGAAATTCTGTGTCCTTATTTGGAATACAAAATGTTTTGGCA